AGAATAAATTTTGTAATTTTACTCGTGTCAAAAAATATAATGTTAGCTTTCATAAATGAAAAAATTTTCTTCCTTTTTCTTTTACTTTTTCAAAAAAAATATATATATCAAATTTTAGAAATGGATGTATTAAATAAAAAGAAAGGTGGTGGTCGTCCTTTAAATGAAATTTGGAAGCACTTTGAAAGATTTCCAATAGAAACTCCTGGCAAGTTTCAGGCTTGTTGTAATTTTTGTCCATTAGAATTGAAACGTGCTGAAATAGTAGCTTTAGAAGAGCATCTTGCAAACCATTGTTCAAATGCATCAGGATTAATTTTACGTGAATATATGCAAAAGGTTTTAGCACGAAATAATAGTAAAAAAAGAAAGTTGGATAATAGTCAAACTATTATCACTTCTTTTCATGATTATTCAGATCTTCCTAAAGCAAGAATTACAAGAAGCAATCGTTCTTTAGCAAAATTATTCATTGGTTGTGGTATTTCTTTTAGAATTGTAGAATATCCTTTTTTTTATTGATTTTGTAAAGGAACTTAATGCTGGATATGATCCTCCTTCTAGAGAACATTTATCTAGCCGATTGTTAAAAAGAGAATTATGTAATGTTAACAATAATATAGAAAAAGATTTAGAAAATCAATTTAATTTGACTCTTGGTAAGTAATTAATTACATTAAAAATTAAAAATTAACAATTTAGATTAAATAATAAATTATTTATATTTAAATTTTTAAAGCTTAGATGGATGGACATTTGGAAGCCATCAATCTATTTGGAATTTCATAATTCTTATACCATTACGTAAAGAATATTTGTATCAATTATCAGATCTTTCTTCCAAATCTCATGATGGAGAATTTTTAGCTGAAAAAATTGAAGAAGTTATTGAAAAAATAGGATCTAATCATATTTCAGCAATTGTATCTAATAATGGGCCAAATATCAAAAAGCAAGACGAATTATACATGAAAAATACCCTAAAATTGAAGATATACGATGTATATCTCATTGTATCAATTTAATTGCATGTGATTTTATTCAACATAATTTTGCAAGTAAATTACTACGCAAAGTAAATATTTTATCATCTTTCTTTCAGAATTCACATATTGCTGGTAAATTAATATTTATTTATTTTTTATTTATTTTGTTATAATAAAAATTATTAGTATTTAAAATTAATTTATTTATTAAATTTAATAGGTTATAAATTTCGAAAATATATAAATGAATTAGAAATTAAGGGTAGACAATTAAAATTATATTGTAAAACAAGATAGACTACATCTAATGAATCGGTTAATCCTGTATTAACTCTTAAACCAGTTCTTAAAAAGGTAATATAAAAAATTTATTATAAAAAAATGATTTAAAAATTAAAATACTAATTTATCTTTTAAAATAATTGAATAGATATTAGTAGAAAGTGATGATATTGATGATATAGTAAATAATCGAATTAAATTGATTATACAAGGACGAAATTTTTTTTCAGATCTTGAAGTTTAGCTTTTGTTTTAAATCCATTACGAAAAGCTATCCTTTTATTAGAAGCACGTATGGCAACATTGGCAGATTGTTATTTTCATTTAGTTCAACTTAGGATAGTATTAAAAAATTTACCTTAAAGCTTTAATACTGAATTTCGTAATTATTGTCATACTATAATAAATAAACAGTTTATTGGATTTGAAGATAATAAATATCTTTTGTGTTTTTTTTACATCTACAATATCGAGGTATTTAATATTTAAGCTTATTTTTATAATTAATTTTTTATTTACTAATATTTATTTAAATAATTTTTTAGCTGCTCCTTTAAAAAAAGATGCTTTTGCAAAAGTAGTAAAAATTGCTGTAACTATTGGAAAGAATCTGGGATTTGATCTTGAACAATCTCGTGCTTTATGTTTGCAATTACGCTAATATAAGGAGAATGAATCACCTTTTGATTTACCATTTGGATATGGTTTTGATGAACCATTTAATTGGTGGAATTTAATTGAAACTTCACCTAATCCAGATTCATTAACAATAATTGCTTTACACCTTTTTTCAATATGTTCAAATTCAGCCTCTTGTGAAAGAGGATTTTCTACCATTGGTTGGCTTACTAATAAATGACATTTACGATTAGAAGTTGAAAAGTTGAAATCTATTTGCAAAATGATAACTTATTGGAAATCAAATGCTAGAAAAGAATTAGGATTTTATGGTTAAGAATCTAAAAACAAAGCAAAGTTAAGTGATTTTGAACTTAATGAAAAAATTACTGAAGCTTTAGCAAAAATTAATAGTTTAGATAATGATGATGATGATGAAATTGAAGTTGAAAATCGAACAGTCGATGGTGAAATTATACCAAATAATATTGTAACTGTTTTAATTGAAAAAGTTTGGATTGAAAATGATGTTAATTTAAAACATCCTATGATATTAAAATATATTGGTAATATACTAATTGATGATTTAGATGATATTAATTTTGACGTAGAATCTATACCAGATAGTAATAAGGAAAAAGAAAATAATATATTAGATTATAATATTGATAATTTGGTTAATCAATATGTTACTTAAATTTGTTTTCAAATATTATATATAATAAATATAAATTTTTTATAATACCAAACAAAATACTTCTGATTTAAATTTATATTAACTTGATTTAAAAAGAAAATAAAAGTAATTAAAAAAAAATTAATTTTATTAAATATTTATTGTATAAATTCTAAAATCTTTTTAGATAAAAATAGATAAAATAGGTAAAAAATCTATTATTTCATAATAGGTAATTAAAAATCTTTTAATAAATATAAAATAATTAATAATATTCATTAAAATAAAAAAACTGTTATTAATAAATTAAAATAATGACAATAAATATATTTGAATATTAAAATTATTTTAGACTATTATTTGCATAATTTTTTTAAAATATTTAGGTTTGTTTTTATTAATTAATACATATGTTATAATACTATATAAATTGGTAAAATTCTATTAAATACTATATAAAAATTTTGCGAAATTGCAAAACTTGCAAAATGTTTCGCAGTTTCGCATTTTTAAAGCTTTTTGTTGTCTAAACCTATAGGTTTTATCTAGCAACCTTACTCTTGACAATCATGAAGTTCAATGATGCTCTGCTGAAGCTAAATGCTGTCACAAATATGGCTTTACTGAATATCTCGTAATATAATGTTCAATGATCAAACAACCAAATAAAGATGACAATTCTAATAATAGACGACCTAGAAAGCAACTGCCATCTGTTTAAAAACTCTACAATAGATTTAAACTGGCTGGTTTCCATTCCTTAATTCACAAAAATACCAATCATCATCAGAATGATCGCTCTTATCCAATGTTACCAAAGGGAAAAATAAGAATCCTAATCCTAAATCCTCTTCAGTGAATGATTCCTGTCACAATTCTAATAAGAAGGATGACAACAATGCAAAACTTGATAAAATTCTTAGCATGTTAACTAGTATGCAAAAGGTAATATCTGATCTAGAAACCTGTATTACCAAACTAGAATGATTCCAATTATCTCTTCCTTTACCAATTATACCCATCCCAACTTCTAACATTTCTGAACCCCTTATAGTGTTTCATCTTCTGGTTCCAACAAACGTACTCGAATCACTTCTTCTTCTTCTGATGAAAATAATATTTCCACCCCCAAATCAATTGATCCTAAAGTCTAGGCTTATATGGATGAACAAAAAGCCATTATTGCAGAATAACAGTCTCAAATGCAAGAAATGATGGCTCAGCTCATAGCCTTGATATCCCAAGCTCAGCAATAATTTTCTCCTTTCCTCTAAATATACAATCATGATTACTACAAATAATAATAATCACATTAATATTAATCATAATATGTCTTCATCCCTACCATTTCTTTTGCAACACATAATGTCAAATCCCTTCAATGTGAACACAAAAATATTTCAATTTATGACACCTTCCTTCATATGAATACAGATTTTGTTGAATTACAAGAAATATGACACAAATCTGATCAAGCATATCGCTGTTTACGTGATCCTAATTATTTTTCCTTTTGGAGCACTCCTATTAATACACGAGCTGGTATTGGTCGTTTAGTTAAACATAATTGGGCCAGATATATTCAACACTCTTTTTTATCGAATGACAGATTCATTTTCTTAGATCTTTTCTTACCTGGCATACTAAACATAGAGTTTTTAATATCTACCTACATGCCTCTACAACTGCTAATGATCGATCTGCATGATTTAAATTGAACAAACTTATTCTTGATCACATCAAAGGTGGGCTAAAAAACAATTTCAAAATAATTATCTAAGGTGATTTCAATGCTGACCTTAATAAATATTGGTCTTACATAGAAAATAGAACTACTTTTCCCTGGAAATATGGACTTTATGATAAACTCTTTGCCCTTAATTTCCTAGATTTATATGACGTTTGTCATGACTCACCCCAACCCACTTTCAATCACACGTTATTCCAATCTAGAATTGATACTATATTTGCTTCCTCTAACCTGATTTCTGACTTTCTCAATTCTGATATTGAATCACCTGAACTCTACTCCTCTGACCACAAAATTGTTTATGCTTACTTTGCTGATATCAAAAGTTCTAGCTCAGCTCGATCAAGATTGAATCAAAACAAACGCTAAGTTCCCAACCTCAGAGCCATGAATCCAACCAAATAGAATAACTTCACAGATCACACAGATTTTCTTTACAATAATTAAAACTTCCAACGACTCAAAGATCTTCCACCTTCACTCTTGAATATGAACATTTTATGGACTGAAATCAAAACTGTTACTTTGATCGCTAACAGAAAATGTATACCACAGCTTTGGATCTCTTCTGTAGATAAAAATGCTCCATTTTATGAATAATTTGATGCCACAGTCGCTACAAAACAAATCAACTCTATTCTTTTGAAATTTAGAATTAAATTCATACAACATCAGCAATGGCCAAAAGATAAATGTTGGAATGACATCATTAGTATCATGTACAAAAATCACAAAAAAATTTGATCACCCCTCTTTTGATTTTCCTGCATCTATTGATCAATATAACATTTTTGCCATTAAAGCATATCTAAAAGATACACACAAGACATTACTTAGTTATGCTAAAATAGAATTGCAAAAATTAAAAGAATTATCTATTAAACAATGTATTGATCAAAGATGTAATAATTTATCCATCAACCTTCTAAAATGATTGATTCAATCCTAAATAGAAAGAAAAGATCAATTATTATAGATAGACTCTTGATTGACATTCCTAATTCCAATGATAAATACTTTTCAATTGATCCTATTGAGATTAAAAATGTAGCTATCAATCATTTTCAAAATTACGCCTTACCAACTGAAGCTGAACGTCCCTCAATACCAGATGGACAAACCAATATCAACCACAAGATCACATTGATCCTAATGTATATATTAATTTAATGTAACCTCCAACATATGACGAATGGATTTCAACTTTATATAGTATTCCCAACAACAAAGCCGCAGGCCTATCAGGAATATTAAATGAAATGATGTCCCATTTAGGAAGTCGTCTTCAACATCTACTTTGGCAATTAATTTGTATGTGTTTTATGCTTAGTGAAATTCCTAATGAATGAAAACTAGCACACATCTTTCCTATCCCAAAACCCATGGATTGGAATTGTGATATAACTAAAACTAGACCAATCACATTCCTAGAAACAGCTCGTAAAGGTTTCATAAAAATTATCAATAATAGATTATCCAAAATCCTAGCTAAACACAACATATTAAGAGGAAGAAACTTTGCAGGGTTGCCTAGAGGGTCTACTGAACCACCCATTAAAATTATAAATATGCTATTAGAAGATACAATAGAAAATAAAGAAGACATTTGGATTCTCCTTTAGGATCTCTCCAAAGCTTATGATAGAGTTGATCTCAAATTTCTTAAACTTACTCTATAGAGAATTAAACTCCCCACATTAGCTTCAAATCTAATCATCAATCTCTTTACTGCTCGCAAGAATGCTATCTTGACTTCTGATGGTATCTCCTCTTACTATGATGTTAAAATTAGAATAGATCAAGAATAAGTCATTTTACCACTCTTATGGTGTATTTATTTAGATCCTCTCCTATGTGAAATCAATTCTCTTAATAAAGGATACACCATAAATCATACATAGACCTCTGATATTACTGACAACTCAACTACCACCCTTTCTGAATCCGTATCTTCACTGGCCTTTATAGATAATACTAATTGGATTGCCAATAGCCAAATAGATTTAGAATGCATCTTTGATGTAGCTGATGACTTCTATAACTTAACTAGAGCTGCCTTAAACAAAGATAAATCCAAGCTTCTCGTTATCAATTTCACATCATTTTCTCCTGTTGATCTTCACTTTGGATCTTCACATTTAGACATCACACCTAAAACTGAAACTGTTCATTTTCTAGGAGTATGGATAAATAGTCAACGTTCACAATCCTTTGTCAAAAATCAAATCAGACAAGACATCAATAAATTTGTTAACTCTATGAAATATAAGCCAGTAACTGACAAACAAATGGCTTACATCATTAATATGGTTCTCTGCCCTTTACTTGAATACTGCATGCAAATTACTTCCTTATCAAAAAATGAATGTGATATCTTATTTATTCCCATAAGGTTCCTGTTCAAATCAAAACTTCACTTCTCTTCAACTCTTCCCACAGTCTTCCTACACCTTAAATATTTTTATAACCTTAACAATCTCTGGTCACTTCAAATCCAATCAATTTCTACTGCACTTTTAAACCAGTTTAACAATAACACATTTTATAAGAACATTTCAACTATCAGACTATTCCAATTACAATCACTTCATATGTTAGCTACTTCACCTTTGGATCACTGGCACTATCCATTCACTAGTAAATCATACAAAAATTTAATTGATGTCTCCCTAAGTCTAATTGGTCATAACTCAAAAAAACTTTTATTTATATGCTCTCCTATTCTTACAAACCAATTTGTTGGAAGAACTATTTCACTTTACAAAATTATTCCTTTTAATGTTTTTACCCGTCATCATTACATATTAAAAAAGCATAATCTTTTCTATTTAGATCAGCTTACATCATTTACAAAATGTAACCTTATTAATTGGGCTGACTTTTTATATAGTGATTTCAATCATTCAACTACAAAAATACGTCATTCAACATTTATACCCCTTTTGGAATCTTTAGTATTAGACAATCCCTCAGATTCACTTCTTAAAGAGGAATACTTTCTAGATTGTCTTCCCAACTATCTCAACCTAACTAAACCTATACAGTCATACCTCTCTATAGCGAATTTTTATATAACGAATTTTTTGGACAACTATATTAAATTTACCCTCGTTATAACGAACTAGCCAATCAAATTCTTTAAAAAATTCACTATAGCTCTATAGCGAAGTTGAAGTTCAGGACATAAAATTCGTTATATCAAGGGTTGACTGTAATGCTAGTAGACAGAAAAAAAGAATTTGTTTCTGTCTGAAATCTGACTAATACCACA